ATCGTGGGTGTTGAGAACTGAGGGACAGGAAGTTACTATTTAATACAGACTCGCAGTTTTGCAAAATCCAAAGAGTTCTGGAGATGGATGACCCAGAAGCATGAATGCTGACAAGGAGACCAAGATGATTTGTGGGGGAAGAACAATTGGTGAAGACACAAGTAGATATTAACATGGTTAGAAAATCACAACCCTCAATGTCACTGAACCGCATAGCTTCATATGGCTGCACCATACACTTATCAATGGTTAGGAAGGTGCATTTTTCGTTATATGTACTTATCACAATAAAAAATGTTAGAAATAAAAAAGGGTGGGTGGGGGTTCAAAAATCCAGGAACAGAGACCAGAGTAAGAAGAGGAGTTTACTACAAATGGCATGAGGCGTTTCTTGCAGTGATGTAAATATTCTTAATTTGATTGTGGTGGTGGTTGCAATGCTTGTGTTGTGGTTTAGATATGAGGTGTAGCGCAAAAGCTTATGTGTGAGAAAATGCAAAAATGTTTAAAGGTAAAATGATTGGGTTATGAGATGTGAAACCTGGTCAATGGATTAATCCACTTGAATGAATGAACTGGTTGGTAACTCTAGGCAGGTTGGGTGTGGCTGGAGGAAGCAGGTCAGGGGGGTGTGCCTTTGGGGTTATATCTTGTCCCTGGTACCTCACTTTCTCTGTTTTTTAGCCCACCACGAAGTTAGCAGCTTTCCTCAGCCACATTCTTCCTCCATGATGTTCTGCCTCACCGCAGGGTTCAGAGCTGTGGAGTTGGCCAACCATGGACCGAACCTCTGAGACTGTGAGCAAAAATAAACTTTTCCTTCTCTAAATTGTTCCTGTCATGTCTTTTGGTCACAGGGACAAAAAGCTGACTAAAACACTGTGTTATAATGGTCAAAAGTCACAGAACTCTTCAACCCCCCCCCCACAAAAGGTGAATTTTATTGTACATGAACTACACACAAGAAACCTGAATTTTAAAGAGGAGTCTTAATACGTAAAGAAAACTCAAAGAATTGTTAAGGAAAAACGCAAACCTTTGTGTTTCTGGATAGGGAAACAGAACATCTCAAAGCTAGCAGTTCTTCTCAAACTCATGTACTGGACACAGGCAGATCTGAACACACTATTAACATCTTTTGGGGAGGAGAGGTGAAACTTCACAAAATGATTTTTAAATTTAACTGGAAAAATTAACTACTAATAATGCTGGAGAACAAAAAGAAAAACAAAGCACTTAGGTAAACTGTTTGATTTCACACACACACCCCCCAAGTAGTGATTTTCAAGCTGAAAGATGTGTGTGAGCTTTTGTGTATGTGAGCAGATGGATCACGCACATTGTGGGCAACAGACGTGGTCTGAAGAAAAGAAAAGGATACTTCACAGAACATCTCAGAAAAGCGGATGTAGTTCAGATAAAAAGTAATGCTGTCCTAGTCTTAATTTTTAAAAAAAAATAATGTATTTTAAAAATTAACAGTAAATGATTAAGAGGTTCCTTTATGTATCTGAGAAGAGAATAATAGAATTACATTAGGAAAGAAAATCCCTCCTCTCCCCAAAACAACTGGATTGCGTAATGTAATAAATATGATTTTTAATTATATTTTTAAATGTCAGGAAATAATATAAATAATTACAGGGAATGATGGGAAAGTACAATGCCTCTCACTTTTTTCTCTTGGTTTCTCTGCACATAGTAATGGGCCATGCACTGTGCTCAATATGGGGGGGGGGTCTGCAATCAAAGAGGCTGTTGTTTAATGGGTTCAATTTGCTTTCTATATAGATTCTAACAGCATGCAAAATTACAAAGAAAAAAAAGTAGGGTGATCTGAAGTCTCACAAGCTTGAAACGACCATTCGTAATACTCGCAATTAGCTTTTTATTTATAGATTTTTTCATTTTTTAAAATTCTTTGGTGGACCAAGGATTGAACCTAGGGATACTTAACTATTGAGCCACAACCCCAGTCCTTTTTATTTTTCATTTTAAAAAAACAGGTTTGCTAAGTTGTTGAGGCTGGCCTCAAACTTGTGATCCTCCTGCCTCAGTCTCCCAAGTTGCTGGGATTACAGGTGTTCACCACCACACCTGATTTACTTATAAATTTTCTTTACTCATGGACATGTACATATATATGTACACACATATTGCATACATGGAATATTCTTGCCCTTCCCTTGAACATCCTTTGAAAAACCATACCCCATGTCTGCTTTGCTAAGAGGCACACATAAATAACAGACATGTTTCTCCATGCCATAGGATTCTATGTACATCATGCATTGAATTCTTTACAATCCTATTTTATATGCGTATGTGTGCATATAAAATGGAGTATTTTTTTGTTTGACTTTGCAAAAATGGAGCGTCGTACACATTTTTGCATCTTATTTTTCTTCCTCTAGAGTACCTCATAGCAGCTTCTCCAAATCACTAAATATGGCTTCTTTATAGTGGCTGCATGATATTCCATGATGAAGTCATGGCTCATTTTCTTTAGCCATTCTGAGTGGCAAAATGTCACACTATTTTCAGTTTTAATAAACATCCTTATACGTTGTCCTTAGGTATTGGTCCTTTTGATTTTATCAGTTTCTCAGGAGGTTTGATGGCAGATATCTTTTAAAATAGTCAAACAATGTTTGTCAAACAGCCTTTTCATAAGATTGTAAAATTCTACGTTTTCACCAGCAAGAAATGAAGGTAGTTTTTTTCAGTCCTGCAGTATTAGTCAATAGCACATGTATATTTTTAATTGAATATAAATACTCATCATTAAGTTGCATTTCCCTAACTATTATTGAATTGTGTAAAGTAGCCAAACAGCAAAATATTTCTATGATTCCAGAATTGCACAGAAATCTCCACTGTGACTATTACTACTCTACATTTTTCTTAAATATTCTAGCACAGTACTCTCCACTAGAAATTTCTGCCATGATAGAAATGTTCTCTGTTCAGTGCCATTCAGGATGAGAGCCACTAGCCACTGGTGCATGCTGAACATTTGCGATGTGAGTTGAGAAAGGGTCTGAATTTATTTTATTTAATTTAAACTCAAGTGTTCAGAAGTGGCAGTGGGATAGTGCAGTTCTAGAAAATGTAAGACACCAAGTTAAAATAATTGCTTCAAATATTGGAAAACACACAATGTCTATTGTGCACTTAAAAAAATCCTCACAACTTTTTATTAAGAAGAAAACTATTAGAAATAATAAGAGACTTTTATCAGATCAGTATATGGACATTAAATATATAAAAATCAATAGCTACTTAGTACTAAGCAGTTGGAATAGAATTAGGTAGAAATCATTCCATTTACAACAGCCACAAAAATGACAAAATATAAAGAATAAATTTAACAGGAAAGCAGGGGTCATACCCAACATGAATTTAAAATTGTAATAAAAGAAGTAAAACAAAAACAAATATCTAGAAACGTCTATCATGCTCTTGGATGAGATGATATTATCACATACTCACTTCTCTTCAAATTAATTTGTAATCAATTACCACTAAAATTCCAAAATATCAAAGTGATTCTGGAAAGAAATAAAATAAAATGTTCCTTAAATTTATATGGTTGACAATGAGTAAAACGTGCTCACAAAAAGAAAATGATTGGGCATATGTTTTATGACTCACCATTCTTCTCAAAACTGGTTATATTAAGCTCTCATGGTATGGACCTAGGAGTAGACAAACAGATCCATGGAAATGAATTGAGAATCCAGAAATGGTTGGCGCAGTGGTGCACACCTGTAATCCCAGCCACTTGGGAAGCTGAGGCAGGAGGATCACAAATTCAAAATCCATCTCAGCAACTTAGGTAGGCCCTTAGCAATTTAGCAGGGGCGGGGGGAGAGGGAGAGAGAGTGGGAGAGGGAGAGGGAGAGGGAGAGGGAGAGGGAGAGGGAAGGGGAGAGAGAGAGAGAGAGAAAGGGGAGGGAGAAAATCCAAAATATTAGCTTGACTAATAAGCGAATCAATTTCTGGATTTTCAATCCATTTATTGATGTCAAGCTAATAGTGGGCAAATGCCCTCATTCAGTTGTTAAAAAAAAAAAAGGACCACTCAATAAATAATGCTGGCCAAACTGGTTATCCAAGCAAAATAAATTTTTAATATGGACTTTTAACATATAATTATAGGCAAAAATAAGTTTTAAAATAAATTTTTAATATAGACCTTTAACACATAATTATAGGCAAAAATAAGTTTTGAATAGATAAAGAGCTTAAATAAATGAATCTTATGAGAAAAATTGAAGACTACTTGTGCAATCTAGGGGTTAATGTAGCTTTCCTAAATTAGAATGGTTAACTCAGAATCTTAAAAAAAAAAAAAAAAAGGAAAAGGAACTATATATGGCCCTATACAAATTTGAATCATTTATTTGGAAAATACATAGTAAACAAAGACAATGTACAAATGATATACCCAGAAAGTAATATTTGTAATAAGGTTAATTTTCATAGTGCCTAAAACTCCAGCAAACTAATTAGAAGAAGATAAACAAGCCATTTTTTTTTTTTTTAAAGGAGGCTCATGAACCAAATATCATGGGTCTAACCCAAGCAGTAAGCAAACTCAGAGAAGATGCATGGGTCACCTGTGTGTGCTTGAAATCCTCTGCTCTGCTCCATATTCCCTTTTTTTGGTGTCAATTTGCATAGAAAGATTTTTCTGAACACAATTAAAATCATCACCACAATAACAAAATTTGAAAGAAAATATGATAGTCTTAACTTCATGCAAATCAAAAACTACAAGTCAAATGAAAAACCCAAAAGCAAGAAAAAAAGACAAAGTTCTTATTACAAATAGTCCATTGGAGTGACATACCTCTCGCATCAGATTCTTTTCTTTCTTTCTTTCTTTCTTTCTTTCTTTCTTTCTTTCTTTCTTTCTTTCTTTCTTCTTTCTTTCTCTTTCTTTCTTATTTTACTTTAATTTTGAAACAGGTTCTCACTAAGTTACTCAGGCCCTTGCTTACTTGTTGAGGCTGGCCTCCTACTTGTGATCCTCCTGCCTCAGCCTCCTGAATTGCTGGGATTATAGGCAAGCACCACCTGCTCAGTTCACATCAGATGTTCAACCCTGTAGGCTAACTAATATTGTAGACCTAATCCATCGACCTCAAGTCTATGATTCACCCAGAAGTCTTTAAAGGTGGAACTTCAAAAGGCTGATGATCAACCTCACCCAATACTTTCTTGGGATGTTCACCCTCAGCACCCCTGACAGGTGCTCTCCCAACCTCCTATGGGCAGTCAACCTCAATTAACACAACTCACTCTACCCAAAGAAGCTAATGTCTTTTTAATCTATGTATTTGCTTGTTTTTATATTAATTGACAGATAACATGTATACATACATTTAGAAAGTGCAGTGTGAGGTCTTGGCATATTTATATATTATGTATTGATCAATCCAAGAAACTTAGTTATAGACTATTTATAGGTTATCTACTATTCCAAATATTTCATCCTTAGATGAGAACATTCAAAGTCCTCTCTTGTAGCCATTTTGGATCCTAGGATATGCCATGGCTGTGATCACTTACCATTCTGATCTCCAGATGCTGTCCCTTTTGAGGGCTGAAGGGTATCCTGTTGTGTGTATTCACCACCCTTTAAAGAAGCTGCTGCAGCAGGAAGAAAGTCTGTCTCATTCTGAACCTGCTGTTTCTTTCCTCCAAGTTTCGCACAACAGAGACGGCTTATTCTGTTGGAGTCTTGGAGCTGTTCTGAGCAGTGACATAAACCCAGCTTTACCTCCACCTTGGGCAGAGGACAGCAAAGAGTTTGGGAAGCATTTCAAGACCTCACCTGACCCTCATATAAGTGGCCATTCTGGTGTCCCACTCACTCCAAGCAGAGGCTCCTGGACTTGCTAGGTGGCCACACTCATCTAAGACGAGTTAGAAAAATCAACTTCTCAGCCCCAAGTCAGATTCATATCATAGGAATGCCCCGGACTGGGTGCCCAAGCACCAGGGACTTCTGATCACCCCAGGGGATTCTGTTCACCCCAGGGGATTCTGGCCCTCACCTGGCTTTGAGAAGCCCTGGTTCAGAAGAGCTCAGGCCTGGCATCTTCAGAAAGCTACAGACACACTTGGATTAGGATTGCCAGCGCCAGCTGCCCTCCACTGAGATCACCCAAGCAAACACCTCTGGGTTCTCATGGTTCTTCTTAGTTTATAAATCACTTTCTCCATGTCCACATTTGAGCCTCTTCATGGTTCATTAAGGATGCATTTCACCTCTGAAGACAGGGAGTCAGAGTGAGCTGGGTATGATACGGAGAAGATCAACTTCTTTTGTTTGTAATTCAGTGAGCCTGAATTCGGAGTCAAGAATCAGTTTCAAAGTCAGCCCATCCAGGATTCCACCTCGCCCACCCTCCCCGGTCATGGAGAGAGGCGGGGCAGTTTCCAGATGCAATTTTCTCTGTCCATGCACATCTTTGGAGCTTTTCTGTCCCTGGCAGGTGTTCTAGTCCCTTGAGCATCCTGGAGATGCATCCATCTCCCACCGGTTCCCAGCCCCGTTCTTATTGCTAGAGCACTCAGTGGCATCCACTCCCTCACCAGCATCACGAGACCCTCAGGGATCAGGAGACCCTGCCACCCACCCTCTGAGTCCTCGGGCCCTGGAGCAGGGCACCTTTGGGGAGGAGCGGCTGATTGCTGCTCCCCTCAGCTGAGGCGCCTTGTCTTCCTAGACCACTCCACGGAGACCAGCCCAGGTCAGGGTGCGGGTCCTTCTGGGAAGGAGGATCCAGGGATCCTCCACTCTCACACCCCAAAATCTCCCTGAAGGAGGTTCTGCCACTTGCTTCCAGAGGTTCACCTCCCTTTTTTTTTTTTTTTAAGGCCAAAACATTGGCCACCTGAAGCTCCAAGATTAACAACAACAACAACAACAATAACTACTTATTATTCTGTTTGAATTCTTGCTCTGGGTGTGTTCCTGGGGGTGAGGGGTAGGGAGTAAAAGGAGATGGAAGAGATTTCTGGGACTAAAGATTAATTGAAAGGAAGAAAAATTGTCAATGCTTGGCTATAAGATCCCACCACGGAGAAATAAGGTCTGAGGGTGAGCGAGTAGCAGAATGTGGACCAGACCTCAGGGATTCTGAGAAGGAGCCAGGAATCTGCAGGCGGGGTCCTGTCCATAGGCACTTACTCTGTCTCCAGTCACAGCCCCTCCCCAGAGGCTGCTCCCCCAGGAAAGGCATAGCTGACTTGCTCTGCATTCAAAGCACCAAAGCATGGTGATCACAAATCTTTACCCGCAAGTGGGCAGACCAAGTGAATCCGGAGCAAAGCCACCCTCAAACAAAAGGTATTGCTCTCCTGGATAGCTCAAGCCTATTGCAAGGGATTAGGACACCATGGGGTGTGGGGGCCTCCAGTGGGGGCTGTTCCCAGCTCCTATGCACAGAGTTGTACTTGTCATCAAAGACTTTCCTCCTCCCCATCAGGGAGACTGACAAGCTTCCCAATACCTCGTGCTGGGCCAGGGGCAAAGGAGTGACAGCTCTGCTCTGAGAGACGATTAATTCTGCACAAGGAGGTGCATGCCCCTGGCTCTGCCACTCACCCGCCACCCAGCACCAGTGTTGACTGACAGCGCACGTTGTTCCTGACCTTACACATCATTGGGTATAATTGCCAGGGGCTTATTAATTATTATCATTACAGGCTCGTGCACGCACACGCGAGTGGCTTTCACACCAACTCACTCATCACAACAAAGGTCGCACCTGTGGGTAGCTACCCAAAGCCTATCCCCCTGGGCCTGGAAGGAATTTCTGAGGCCAGATTGTCAAAGGTCTGGAGCCACCTTTCATAGCATAGTTGTCTGCAGGGAGGGTACTGATACTTGGCAGGTTTGGGGTGCCCATTCTGCTCTTGAGAACTTAGGGCCTCTGGTTCTGGAGAGTCTGGCCTTTGTGAAAAATCCCCTCTGCCACCCAGACCCTCCTTCCCATAAGCAGCCCAGATTGAAATGCCAGGTAGTGACAACTCAACCTCTTACATCCTTCAATGTGGACATTCAGGAAACTAAGGCTGGGCGCTACAGAGGCATCCCAGGTCCAACGCTTTAATTTCTATATGATGAGACGAAGGCCCAGAGAAGGTGCTGAACCCGCTCAAGGTCGCTCAGTAACCAATTAGTGATGTCGGGAAGTCAAAATGGCTTCTTCTCTTCCTGAGCACTGAACTAGAATTTGAAAGTCCCCAGAAGTATTCAGTACACTCAATTTTAAGGTAATAATGGCATTTATTATTAATAATGACATTGAGTGCATGTTATGGGCCAAGAACTATCCTCTCTGATTTTTACTGTTTTCATTATTGTTTTCCAAAAATGGCCCTCAAATATTTATTTGATTGCCATTATTGTTATTGCTTGTTAAAAGTGAACAGTTGCCAGACACGATTTTAAGCACTTTACTTTCTAAAAAAAAAAATTCATTACTCCTCCTGATCATGACAATTTCATAAGTTATATACCATTCCCACTTCCTACCATTTTTTTTCCCATGAAGAAATGGAGACACAAAAGTGATACATAACTCAGCCAGGGTTCGTGTGCATTCCAAGTTTGCATGCACAGAATGAAATGCAGATAGCCCGGATACCGAGGCTGCCCTCTTACTGTCTACTCTCTATGTTAGAATGAGAATTTTTATTAGCCTAATTAGTTAATTGTGGTGTGCCTATGTACATTGTCCGCTGCATGTTGGTCGAGGTGTCAGAAACAGAGTGGAGAACAAGATAGACATAGTCTTTGCCCTCCCAGAGCCCAGATTCTGGCAAGAATAGTGAGCATAAAAAACTGAATAAAAATAAACAACTTCAAAGGGTGAAAGAAAATAATTACAGAGTGATATAATTCAGCATGAATTCCTTTAAACAGAGTGATTATGAAAGTTGAAGCTGAAGAGGTGAGGAGACGGAGACAGACACAGAGAAAGTGTAGAGTATGGCGCTATGGTTTAGACGTGGGGTCCCCCAAAAGCTCCTGTGTGAGCCAATGCAAGGTTCGGAGGAGAAATAATTGGGTGATAGCTTTAACCTGATCAGTGAGTTAACTGTGGGATTAACTGAGTGGTAACTGGAGGCAGATGGGGTGTGGCTAGAGGAAGCGGTTCATTGGGGGCATAACTATGGGGCATAGATTTGTATCTGAAGAGTGGAGGCTCTCTGCTCTCTGATCTTCACGTGAGCAGCTCCCCTCCACCATACTCCTCTGCCCTGTTCTGCTTCACCTCAAGCCCTGAGGAATGGAGCCTGGTGTCCATGGACTTAAGACCATGAGCGCCCCCAAATAAAATTGTCCTCCTCCACAATTGTGCGGGTTGGGTCTTTTAGCCACAGCAGTGAAAAAGCCCACTACATCAATGATGCTTCTCTCCTGACTTGGAGCCCCACTCGATTCCTCAGGTGCCCCCGTGTGGTCAGGCACCCTGTCATTGTCACGGATGCAGGGATGCAGTCAGGAGGCCAGGTCGTCCCCTTTCCCATGAGGTTACAACCTGTTGTCACCAGCACCTGTGTTCATGGGGAATCAGCAGCCAAGAGAGACACAGGCTGTTCCCCATCTTCCTAATGCCCAGGGAGTGGGGAGGACACAAGAGCCTGTCAAGGAACAGGGGTGCCCCTGGTCCTCATGCTTAAGAGGTTTCCATGAACTTCCGGGGGGTGTCTTCTTATTGAAAGATGTCAGATCAGGTACTTAAAATTCCAAGGGCTTACCCCAGCTCTCACCTGATAGCTTTACAGATCATCCCTGGGGAATCACTTAACTCCGGCTGCCAACTGTGCCTCCTGACACCAGCAGGTGGCCAGGCTCAGGTGAGGCACTGGCCACAGGATCCCTTAAGAGAACAAATGTGGGTTTGTCTTTGCTGTTGTAAATTCTTCCAGATTCCAACAGATCAAAAGAGCACTAAACCATTTTAGAAATTTATCTTAAGCCGTCGTGTGTGTGTGTGTGTGTGTGTGTGTGTGTGTGTGTGTGTTTTAGCAATGTTATTTTTAATTATATAGAAATAGGGAAAAAGATTTAAAAATACCAACAGCCTCAATATGTAATACTGAGCAATGGAATAAATTGATAATTTCAGATAATTAAATACTGCAAGATCATTTCAAATGACATATTAGAAAAATATTTGACTAAGGAAGAGGTACATCCATGATTTATTTTTCAATAAAAAAATATCAGATCATAAAATAATATATACAGTATTTTATATATATTTTTTAATAATAATATAATAATTAATCCTATTTTTTAAAAAATATGCATCGACTACATAGCATCAAATAAATGCTGGACTGCTCTCCCTGTGGGGAGGGGTAAGAAGTGGTCATTTTCTTTCTCTTCTGGCTTTTAAAACACATTTGCAAGGAGCTTATATCTCTCAGGATATCGACAACAAGCAGAGTTTTGTTTTTGGTTTTTCGCTCGTTGTAAAAGAGCCCACATCACCCCATGAATTTGGGTGGAGTGTCGGGAATCAGACGTCCAGATGGCAAGAAGCAGCGACTCAGACACTCAGGGCTCCCTCCCAACAAGCTGAAGCTTCAGACCCAAGTCACTCTTCCAGCTCAATTGAGATTCTGCCACCACCCGAGAGGAAAGACTCTGCCCTTTAAGGAAAAAAACTCAGGCCCAAAGTTGGAGAAGAATTTTCTAAGCAAGCAATATACTGGCACATTTTCTGATTCCTGCATTTCCTGCATTTCCCTGTTACCTAAAAAAAAAAAAAAAAAAAAAAAGTAACACTCACCCAAAGTTGCTGAAGTACGTCAGGAGTGAGGACATGCCCACTGCAGAATGGCAAGAGTCCAGTGTTCCTCTCTCCAACTCCAAGCCCTTTCCTATGGACCATGCTGCCTCTCTCATGGTAGGGGCAACATTATTGTTTAACCAAGAAAGAAGAGATTCCTAAAAATAATAAATAAAAAATTTTAAAAAAAATAAATGCAGAAGGTAGGAAGGTGGGGGGCATTTCCCCAAACCTCTGGATCAAAGTTCCAAACCATAGTCCTTCAGACAGAGTTGTGGTCAGAACAGACAGCAATAGAAGAGCCCCAGATGGCCATGCCCAGGGTGGATGGGCCGCCTTTTGCTCATGAGGATGGCTCTCTAGAACCATCCATTGACAGTGACCTGGATCTAGTGGTTTCTGGTTTTTCTTTATTGATTTCATTTTTCTTTTTTTCCAATGGTGAGGACAGTCCCTCACTCACTCCCTACGTCCCAGGGATACTCATAGGGGAACTGTTGGCCTCGGTTATTTATCATCTGCTCTGACCACACAGTCAGTCCTTGGAAGACCTATAAACCAGGTCCTAATGAAAAGAAATTTAACCCAAGATCCCAGTATATCTGAGAAGGAGAAGGGAGGCAGGCTTGACCCATCTGCACTCAACTCCAGCCCAGGTTCCCAAGAGCCAGATTGCCTCAATCACTTGAGGGTCTTGTAGAATCAGAATCTCCAGAGTTCAGAACTAGAAACTATAATTTTTTGGAAGTTCTCTGGGTGATTCTGATGGTTGACCCTGGGAGGAATCAGCTCAAATAGTGCAAAGGTTCATGCTTGGGACCTTTAATCCAAATACACTCAGGTGAAATTGTCCCGATATCATTTAATGCTAGAGTACTAAGGGGAAAAAAATAATAAAAACAACAAGCTGTTTTCAGTGCTTTACCATAGTGAGAGGTTTCAGAGGTCTTAGTCCATAGAAGGCCGGCTCCATTGATCAGGGCTTGAGGTGATGCAGGACACCATTGAAAAGATTGTGGCAGAGGCAAGCAGTCCACATGGTGATCAGAAAGCAGAGAGAGAGACTCTACTTTCCAGGTACAAATATATTCCCCATAGCCATGCCCCCAGTGAACCACTTCCTTCAGCCACACCCCACCTGCCTCCAGTTACCACTCAGTTAATCCCACCAGGGATTCATTCACTGGTTAGGTTAAGGTATGACCCAATCATTTCTCCTCCCAAACGTGCACTGTCTCCCATGTGAGCTTTTGGAGGACACCTCACATCCAAACCATCACAGCCAGGAAGCATCAATTAAGGAGATATTCATTGGGTACTTATGGGTCAGGCAGAGGTAGGATCCAAGCCTCTAAGCTCTTGTGCCCTGCGGCTAACAATGTCAGAGAAAAGATGAAGCCATTTTGAAAACCATCTATGCACACACACACACCCTTCCTCAGGAAGGTGCCGAACTCTTGACATCTTTCTGTATTCAAGCAAGACTGGAGTACCTCCTGCAATCTACAGTGGCGGAGAGTAAATCTGGACATGACAAGGGAGGACGGCAAAGGGGAGAGATATGAGCGCAAAGACTGTACATTACAGAAATCTCTGGCAATTCCAGGATATTGACAAAGGTACATGCTGATAGCCACAGAGCATGTAAGGATTTTAATACCACATTTCCAGTTATGACTAGCGAAGCATAATTACCTACTAAATTATAATGTTAATATTCATTTGAACAAATAAGTACTTGTAGTAGTTACATCGGGGCCCTGTGCGGGCAGCCGAGGGGCTGATGAAATGGACAAACAGTTTCTTTGGAGGAGTTTGATCCTCCATTCAGTAAGGCTGGTTCTCTGAGTCTTCGGAGGTCAAGGCACACACTGTGAATGGTGTTATTCCCCCCTATCATCGTTACATGCAAAAGATTCAGAATTTAGCAAGTAAATATACAAGTAATTACAAATTGCAATTTGTAATACGTGCAAGAAAGTGGGGAAAAGAGGACCAGGAGGAGGCCTTCAAGAAGCAGATGTGTAATGGGGGAGGAAGTCCTGAACTCAGCCCTGTAATTTTTCTAGCAAAAATAAAAGGGTCTTGCTGAGGTCTCCTATTATTGTGGACTTATCTATTTATACCTCCATTTCGTCCAAAAAAGAGTCTGAGGTGGGGCTTACCTGTCATCTGTAAGAAAATTAAAGTCATTTCCTAAAAGGGGCAAAAGGAAATTGAAGTAATGAGGAGGGAGAGAGAAAAAGGTTGAGAGAGAGAGACACACACACAAAATGAAAAGAAAGAGACAACATGCACACAGCCACACACAGCCACCTTCAGTTCCTTTCTGAAGTCCAGATCTTAAATAGAGCATAATTTTCCTTTTTTTTTTTTCCTTATTTCCATAGGAATTGGTTGTCTTCCTACATGCACTTTTTCTTTGGGGCTTCATACAAAGGTAAGGCTCCATATTGAGCCATGCTAATTAGCTGGGGCGATCTCGAGTTTGTAACAAAAGCAAATCTATCACCAGCTGTAGAAAAAAATAATAAAAAAAACGTCCTCAGCTACCCCAAACCCCAAAACACATAAGCTCAGCATTTTAACTGGCTGGGGTAAGAGCCATTATTTTCATTAATGGAGCTCATTTTTATTTTATTGGGCTTTTTTACTATCAGATTAAAAGCATGTTTTTATTGTAGTTTTTTCTAATGCAATCTTGGATGATGTGCCCAGAATGAATGGAATAGTTATTGTTTTAATTATTTTTTCATTTTGTGTTTTTATTTCATTTGTTCCTTTTATTTACTACTTTTAAGTTTGCCATAATAACACGGACTCAGGGAGTTTAGAGGCCTCCAGTCAGCACCTCTGCAGTGATTTGAATCTGCTAAAGACCAAGGAGTGGGAAAATCACTGGTCCCCTGATGCTTTCAGAACCCTGTGACAGCCCATCTCAAAAGCCCAGGCTTATTGAAGAAGGCATGTGGAGCAGAGTTCCTAGGACTAAGGGTGGTGATGAGGCTCCCATATGCATCAGACACATCTTCAGGCCAGTTCTGTTTCCGTTCCTGCTCCAAACTGTCCTGGCTCAGTAGGCAAGGAAGAGTTAGAAGGAACCTCAAGGTGGAGAAGCAACATGTTGCTTGCCTAAGCCACAACTCACTGATAACACAACCACATAGAGTGCCTATGGGAGCATGCGGACTTTGTCATGCAGGTGGACCTGTTCCCTGCTCGTGAAGAGGAGAGAAGAAACAGAGCTTCCCTGCAAATCCACATGTCTCAGCAACCCTGTGGGCTAAAGAGACCCAGAAACAAGGTCAGGGCAGAAATTTCAGATACTTTGATTAGAGCAAGAATTTGATTGGGTGAGTTGTCTTCCCAGGGATAAGCTCAAAAATTACTGAACACTACAGGCTACTCAGAAGCCCAACCCTTAGGCCTGCCATTTGCAATTGTGTGGATGAACCCAAAAGACGTTATGCTAAATGACATAAATCAGACTTGGAAAGAAAAGTACTACGTGATCTCACTTCTATGTGGAGTCTAAACAATCAAAATGGCTATTACCTGGGGCCAGTCTCTCTAGGTCCAGAATTGCCTTCCAATGCCTTCCAATGGATGAATCAGGGATTTCAGGAGTGAAAATGAAACCCTGACTTGGGTATCTCTTTCCAGTCATCCTCAAACCCATAAAACATACTTTGCAAAGACCACCGTATTTTGTTTCTTAGCAAAGATAAGGAATATGATACTTTAGAACCTCACAAAGCCCCTTCTGCTTGAGTGTTGAATCACTAGTGCCATTTATCACATTCTTTAATTCACAAGTCTCATTTCATAAGATATATTCTTTCTAAACCAGCATAAAAGTTGCAACAGAATACTGAGCCCAGTTTAACAAGACCCGAGCACTAATTTTTGGAAAGAGATTCTACTTATGGAAAAATGTTGTTCCCTTAAAGGAAGCAAACACTACATCTAAAGAACCATTTTTTTTTTCCATAATGGTACTTTGGAAGGGGCTCACCTACCCTTGGAGATGATACCAGATTTAAGTTTCATAAACAAAAGGCATTCATTTATCATGATCCACACTCACAGCAATCAAGTGCCAGGGTTCTGTTGTCTCTGAGCATCCTGAGCATCAGAGATGAATTCACCCACAGCAGGGACTAGGATATCGTCCTCACACAATGCACTGGTGAATTCTATGAAATTATATTGTCCCTCAGATTTTTGGAACAGTCTGTAACATTAAAAGTTCTTGATTTAAGTTAGGCAGGCGTTCGTTGGTTACTTTTGCCAAATATCGCTTCCTTTTACAAAGAGTTTCAGGGAATAAAGTTTGGACCATGCCTTTGTAAAAAGAAAACATTCAGCACTCATGCATATTCACGTGTCATTTGGCTGGCAGGATGTGGAATGCAAGTAGGGATCCTCAGTTTAATCCCTGGGTTTAACTGCATACAGGTTTGTGCATTAGTTCACCAGGAATAAAGGACTGCTTATAATTATTACTACATCTAAAATGCATATTATGAAATTATATAGTTAAATGCTATATCAATATAACTGTAAAGATAATAATGGATAACACTTTCTGGGTGTTGCCTCATTTCCTCCCACAATAGGATGAGGCAGTAGAGTCATCCCTTCTGTTTCCAGATGAGGAAAATGGGAAAGAGAGAGGGGACTGCTCTTGTAATTGGGGACCAGGCAGGAAGGCAAATCAGTACAGGGAATGGTTGAGGTATAAAGCCACAGGGATAGTGTTTGGCAAACTCCAGGATCAGCTCTGGCTGCTAGGCCTAGATCTCCCAAGGTTTCAAGAAAAACTTACCCCAAATGTGCAAGTTTTCAAAATAAGGCATGCACAAGCAAAACACACCTGCAGATGACAACCACACCAACCCGGACCATTTGACGCTCTCCCGCATCCCTGTCCTGTCTTCTGTGCTACGTCCATGGTTTGTGTTTTGTCTTCCCAGCTAAACTATGCAGGTCTGAAAACCAGAACCCATATATTAGGAAGCTTTATTCTCCTTCTAGGCGATGGGAATGCGTGCTGGTGCATGGAGGAGAGTTGGTTTCCCTAATGCTCAGGATTCAAATTCTATCAGGCTCTGTCTTCTCCAACACATAGTCTCCTCTGGAGTCTCACCTTCTATTTCTCACTCCTATTCTAATGAAATCTAAGCTGAAGAAACGTATTTGGGTTACTCAATGGAATTAGGGCATGTGTGCCCCTGGGGGCTTAAGTTACAGGTTCAGCCTCAAGGGAAGGTTTGTCCCTGTTGGCCACACACTCAGACACCTACTTCTGAAGACCCTGTAGCAATTCTCCAGGCACCTCTGCAGTCAGATCCTCATTCACCTCACACATTTTTACAAACAGGGTCTCCTTGCTGTCAATCCCATGCCCTGTCCCATTTCGAAGAAAGGATGCAAAGGTGTGCTGGCTCCAATCTGAACACTCAGAACGTGAGCACAGGTGGGTTGACATCCATGATGTTAAGTTAAGGTGTCAACTTGGCTGTGGTAAGGGACCCAGCTAGCTGGTAAAGCATTATTTCTGGGGGTGTCCTTGAGGGTGTTTCTGGAAAAGAATGACATTAGAATCCATGGACCAGGTAAAGAAGATCCATCCTCACCCAGTGTGGGCCAGCACCACCACCCTTTGGTTGAGGTCCCCGACAGAACACAAAGGCAGAGGAAAGTCAAAGTCATTTTCTATTTTGGAGCCAATCTAGCCATCTACTTCTGCCCTTGGGCATTGGAACTGCGGCTGCTCCTACCTTTGGACTGCAGAACTCTATAAAATAGAGTCCCCAGTCGCCAGGATTCTCAGACCTTAGTTATAGTATGAGTCACATACAGGCCCCCCTCATTCTCCAGTGTGACAACAGCAAATGGTGGGAGTTCTCAGTCTCCATGATCATGTTGTCAATTGCTATAATAAATCCCCCCATCTGTCAATCTTCTATCATCTATCATCTGGTTATGGTCTGGATATGAGGTATCCCCCAATAGCTCCTCTGTTAATGCAGGAGGTGAATTGATCAGATTATGAGAGCTGTGA